AATTGTTGGCCATTGGTCCCCATGGTCCCCCTTTTCTTATGTTAATTGAGAGCCGATGAGGTAACCACCTGTCAGTGACCTTGCAGGGAGGTCCAATCCCCCTGGCCAAACTAGTGCAGACAGGCTTTAATAGGTGTTTTGTCTGTATGAGGGAGAGGGTAACAGGATATAAGGCATAATTTGGAAGGAAGGTCTATTTCTCACCCCTGTGAACCCTTAGGAATGTATATACTTTGACATATGGAAGAACACTTGCAAATCGTCAGGTGATCTAGGGACACTGCTTGAGCCTTGAACAAAATTTAAACGGGAAGTAGAGATGAGGTTTCTGACTAAATTTCTGATAGAAAGCGGATTGTTTTTTGAGAAGGTCTGTTTCTCACTTCTGTGAAGCCCTGGGAATGTAAGCATTGACATGAAAGAACACTTGCAAATTGTCAGGTGATCTAGGGACACTGCTTGAGCCTTAAACAAAATTTAAACGGGAGGGGTAGGATGAGGTTTCGGACTAAATTTCCCCGATGTTCAGGTACAAGAAGGGGCATTGTTTTTTTGAGGAAGTTCTGTTTCTCACTCTCATAGATCCCTAGGAATGTAAACATTGACATGAAAGAACACTTGCAAATCGTCAGGTGATCTAGGGACACTGCTTGAGCCTTAAACAAAATTTAAACGGGAGGGGTAGGATGAGGTTTTTGGACTAAATTTCCCCGATGTTCAGGTACAAGAAGGGGCATTGTTTTTTGAGGAAGTTCTGTTTCTCGTAGATCCCTAGGAATGTATACCCTGGCGTGGAAGAACACTTGCAAATCGTCAGGTGATCTAGGGACACTGCTTGAGCCTTGAAAAACTCAAATGGGAGGGGGAGGGGGAGATGAGAAGATTTCAGACTAAATTTCCTGATGTTCAGTTACAAGAAAGGGCATTGTTTTTTAGGAACGTTTCTTTCTTACTCCTGAAAAACCCTAAAAAAATTCACTCACTTGGAAGAACACCTACGCTTTGTCAGGTTATCTAGGTACACTGTTACAGCATTTAAAAAAAAAAAAAATTTAGGGGGAGGGAGGAGGTTGTTAGACTAAACTTTTGACGAGACTGATAAGAAGGGGATATAAGACTTTATTTATTGAAGAAGGTTCGTTTCTCCCTCCTGTAAAGCTCCATGAATAGACATTGATATGAAAAGGCACTTGCAAGTGCACACTCTGTCAACTAATTCTAAGGTATTGGATTGCTAGATTATCATAATGAGGAAGGGGGGATTGGGTGATGTCTACAAAAAAATAATAATTGTCCCCATATTTCTAAATATGCTATTAAGGCCTGAAAACTATTTGATCACAACAAATACAAACAAAAATTTGAAACATATTTTTGTATCCAGTGTATTTTTGTGTCCATCATTACAAGCTTTCACATTACAAATTAAATCTCTCAGCATCCAAGCATCTATCGTTAAGATGTACTCAAATTGGCAACAAAATGAAAAGGAAAAGTTTTTAAATTAGGAACAAAGTGCAACCAAATTTATGATTTTCACCTCAATAATTTCTTGATTAGCTACATACATGTACAAAGGAAAGAGTTTAACATATTTAGGCCGATTTGAAACCCAAATGGATCCTACAGCACTAAACAGTAGGAACGAGTCATGTTCACTCTTGTGAAGATTTCTCTCTTTCTATTTGTCACAACCCTTGAATCTTAACAAATAGTGATGTTTCACAGTAATTCAATTACATGCGGAAGTCTCCTTGCAGATTAATATTAAAGACTTCAAGTTTGGCAAGTTTTTTCAGTGTATTAGATTAACTCATATTCCTCATCATACCCAAAGAAAAATGTATGTGCCCCGCGAAGATAGGAATGTAACAAATGGACTTAAAAGGGAGAGGCTAACTCAAGGTCTACAAGTTTTTTATTTTTAAATCCAAAAATAGATTTTCTTCTGAAATATGTCCTTGAATAAAACATAACTCGTAAAATACTTCCTGCCACATTTTCTTCCTCTTCAAATGCTATTTTAAAATGAGATACTTGTATCTATTACACAGATGCTTTCAGTTATTTGAAATCATGCTAATTTATTGTGCTTAGATTATCCTATGTGGATGTTAATACTTAGTATATTACCTTTTAATCTTCACATATTGTTTTCATTAGGAAATGCACAATATGCTTGTCTACTCTTAGAAATTTATAAATGGACCGGAGTGTTGGCTCAGTCAGTAGAGCGTCCGCCTCACAACCGGGAGGTCGTGGGTTCGAACCCCGGCCGCGTCATACCAAAAGACGTTAAAAGATGGGAGTTGTTGCTACCTTGTTTGGCGTTCAACAATAAGGGATAGAGCAACGTCGATCTGGCGCTGCTCAGTGGCTGCCGGGCTCACGATCAATTGGGCGAAAAGAATTTCCGTTTCGGTTTAATAAAATTTGGAGTGGACTATTATTATTATTATTATTATTATTATTATTAAAACAGAAACATCTGTGAATTTGTAATGACTACCATTTTCACAAATAACTGTGCACATTGCAAAGATTAAAGGACATCATTCAAATACTTTGCTGCCTTAAACTTTCACAGATTTTTCCACCTCCCCACTCCCCCCCCCCCCCATCAATCTTTCTTTGTACCAATCACTTTGTTGAAATGTTTGCCTTCTCTCTTAAAATCCTCTAAAGTGACCTTTTCTAATTGCTTTAAAGCAATCTATTTATTCATCAATCATTATCTCTTTTTTTCTTAAAAATAAAGAATATTAAATGAACCAATATGTTTTTTTCTTCTAAAGGGGGGGGGGGGGGGGTTCTTTGCTGTTATCTAGGCTGAAAAGCTGGCTTTTCTCTCAGGGTATCCTGAATTTGGCCGTTCCAAACTGCAAAAGAGTAAATTTATTCTTTGATAAAGTCCATATATTTCTCTTTTTCAAGTACTAAAGCCTAGATATTCTTAAGACAAATATTTCTTTGTTCTTGTGAGCAGACCCTTTGCCCAAATTGACCTTTCCAAAAGCTCGTTCCAAAGTTCGTGTATTAAGCTGTTAAGATTGCTCATCATTTTGTAAAGAAACATACATGTACCAGTTTTAAGAGCATTGATAATATCCTAGAAACCAAGATTCCTTTGTTGTTCTCAAGATGGGACCTAGCCCCTTTGCTGAAAAGCTGGGTTTATCTCTCGCAATCCCCCAAGTCGACCTTCCCTAAGTGCATCAAAGTAATTAATTCATTGATCGAGGATCAGTGAGTGCTCCAAAGACAAATTTAGAAGATGTTTAATCACCTACTTCCCCCACTTGTTGTCACCATTCAGCTTTACTTTATGGCTCATACTTCCCTCCTCCTGCCTACATGTATGGTGTATCTTAAGTAGTAATCTAAAGTGTTGATATGTACTGCCAGTTTGACATTAGGTTCATTCACATTTGGGAAAACAAAAATAAATGAGAATGTGAACGTAATATCCTTTATCCATTGCCCTGGAACTATGACATTAGACCCCATTCACACACATGGAAAAATGAAATTTGAATAGCGCTCATAGCCCCATTCTTTATACATGTAGAGTGTACCTGTTAAAGGTAGATATGGTGTTAATTGCCTTTAAATAATAGCGGTGCATAATTGGGCCCCATTCACACTAGGGAAAAGAAAACTACAGTGTAATAAACATTGTAAATAAAGTTTCTGAGCTAAGCATTTTTTTAAAAGATAAAAATCAAGGGACGAGTTTGTGAGGTGTGCAATTGATATCTATTATATCCTTTTAGGCTTCATATATTTTACACAAATAGTTTAAACTTTTTTGTATAATCAGTCAAAGAATCCTTCTAGTATTAGGTCAACATTAATTGTTACAATTAAAGAATTTTGTAGGAATCTAATTTTGTTTGCACCTAATACAGAAATTGATAGGACAGAGAACTTTATTACTCCTATATTTTACAATGAATTCAAGAAGACAATGGAGGATCAAGCCGGTACACTTTCAGTCATGTGATAATGGTCAATTGATAAAGAATAGAGCCATAATGGACTGGTCAACACTTGTCATGTTGACGGTAGGTGCGCAATATTACACAGTGTCCCCCTCGGCCAGCCGTCGTCGGTCGAAGCAGAGAAACGAGTCTGCCAAGGGCATCAAGGCAAGGCAAGGCAGGAAGTTAGTTTAGGGCCTCAGTGGTGTTCGTGAATCATCCCATCTATGTAAAAAAAAACAGTTTTCTTTATCTCGACGCTCACTGAAAGACAGACATGCCCGATCTACCTCTGTAGGGCTCTGTTAGCAGACTGGCAAACCGAATGCAGTAGCACTCTTGGGAATAGCTATCGGTTCACGTTGCTGCGTCTATTTTGGAAACGGGACTCGTGACACCTTCCTCCTGTGATCGCACATTGTTCAAAATCTTTAAGTTCCACGGATGCTCATTGGATTAATTCTATTATCTGTGATTAATTCCGTCATTGGATTTTAACCTTCATTCATGATCTTCAATCGCTTCTCAATCTTTGGATCGATTACTTCTTTCATTCGCTCTCCATGTCTTGTGGATCTCCAACGTTTCTTCCACGCTTGGAATAACTTCCAAATTTGAATTTCCGTCTGCTTCTTTGAATCTACATCATCTTGTTTAGCTGGGTGAAGTTAGGAGCAATTATCAACTCATCTCTCCTCCTCTCTCGCACTCTTCTCAACTCCTCAAAGCGGTGGCGGGCTCTATTCTTAGATAACCTATTAGACGCTAGGATTCTAATTAAGGGTGTAGGTACTTGGTAGGGGCAGATGCGGGGGTAGGGATAAAAAAAAAAATTCTTTACTTTCTGTAGGAGTGAACTTCAGTAGAATTAGTGTTCTAGGATAACAGATTGTAAGTAATTCCTCACTCCAACTAGTCCGAAACTTCCATGTTGGAAGTGCCCTATTTTTCTTTTCTATCTTGTTTGGGAAGAGTTAGGTAGTTCTCATGCCTGTAACCCACATTTATTCCTCGCTACAGAAGAGCTTTACAAGCATTGGGGTCAAGGACAGTCATCATGTTACAGCCGACATGAAGAGATTAAAATCAGGTGAGTTTGTTTCTCTTTATTCAGGGATAGTGCCATATGATATTAATAATAATACTCAGTTTTTATATAGTGCTTATTACAATCACTAAGCGCTCCCGAACTTGGAGATTATTAACCCGGCTATGGCTGTGCTGCCATTACGGCGCTCTAGCACTTCAAAGAATTTATTCCTGCCAGGTACCCATTTACATCACGTGGGTTGAGTGTGGCAAATGTAGATCTATGTCTTACCAAAGGACATTAGTGCCGCGGCAGGTCTTGAACCGCGGGCCATATGCCAGGTAGAAGGGGGTAAATAGATGCATGGTTATGCAACTGATTTACATTTCTAAAAGCTTACCGAAAGAAAGCTTTCACTGCCATTGACAGTAAATTATGACCTTCTTGCATGCCACCAATGAAATAAAAGTTTATGAGATTTGACCTCCCTTAGACTTGATCTACGTAATACATTTCAGTTCATATACATCGTCTAAATTGTTGACAGTGATAGGTTTACTTGTACATTTATTAAAGAGAACTGTTGCTGAGCTAGCACCATGAGGGTCCCTGGGTGGTGTGTGCACTCTATAAGTTTACACTATTATTATTATTGTAACTTCTATATAAATGATTCTCATCCTTGCATTATGAATCTATAAGATTAAACATTTGGACCCAAATCTGTATCCATGCCATTTAACCAGCCAAAAAAAAAATTGATTTGCAGCCGCAAGCCTATATCTACATAACCATGCAAGCCGATACTTATAAGCAGCATCTAAAAAACGATTTTTAGCTTTAATAGAGAACTTGAGATTAAACACAAGTTTAAAAAATGAGAGTGACTTGACTTTCAACCAATTAGAATCAGAGCATTAACTGCATCCAACTCTTAGTCCCAAATCCATGAGTGTGGTATATAAAAGGCAAGACCATGGTCTTAACCACAGACTTACATTTACCATGGCCAGGATTACTAAATATGCAAAGGGTGCTTTAAATACTTTAAAAAATTAACCATGAATTGTGATAAATTTGTGGTGTAAACCAAGACCATCGTCGTGACTGCAAATTTACCATGACCAGGTTTACTAAAGATGCAAGAGATTCTTATTTTGAGAAGTATGCCATAGATTTGGAATATGCATTGTGAAAATATTCATACTGACTTTTGTTATTGTCTGTTAAAGAGATAGATGGTTGGCCAGGTTTCAGTGGAATAATGTGCAATTGTTGCCATAAATCCTTTATTAGATTCAATGGATGAAAAATAAGGGGCACTATCAAACAAAAGAATAATTTTTGAGGCGAATACCTTTCTTAAGGAGCTATTACGAATCATTTGTAATACAATGATGAAATTGAATTGGGTCACCTTTTGTTTCTTAAACATTCAGTGGATGAAAAACAAGGGGCACAATCAAACAAAGAAATTATTTTTGAGGAGAATACTTTTCTTAAGGAGCTTTTACAAATCGTTTGGAATGTAATGATGAAATTGAATTGGGTCATCTTTCCAATATCTCTTTTGGCCTCTCCTAGTATTCATGTTAATCTGAGTTGGCCATCTTCCCAGCATAATGTGAACAAAAGACGTTATTCATACATTGGTGATAATTAGATAAATTCTCGTTTGTATTCTGCCAAATTTTCAATTGTATTGGATATTGCACCTAAACCTGTCGCTCTCACCAACCTTTGCTTTCAATGACCAGCTTTCATTTTACATATTTGGAGTAAGAATAAATGTTAGTTTTGATTTGGCATCCATATTTACATATTTTTAGAAACTGAAATTGACCTACCCATTTTATCAACCTTAAGTACATACATGTACATGTAGGTTTATTTTAGCTTGTCATACCTGATACAAACATGGCCCCTGAAAAGGATATCATATTAAGAAGTCAGCCATCTATATTAGATCTGAATATATCCTTGCATTTATCTTGAACCGCTATGTTTTGAAGGAAGTAACTTAAATTACATTCCGTTTTCAATTAGTGCTGGAATCTGACATGTGCCAGCTCATTTTGACATCCAGTTTTTTTTTCTTCCAAGTGTGAAAAGTTCATGCCCAAATATTTATTAAACCAGATATACATGTAGGTTATCTCAATTTGACTCACTTGTTTTATAAACATGTCGCTGATTTCTAGACAATATTCATGTAAAATAAAAGATTATTTCTATTCAGTCTCTGAAAAATAAATCAGAAAATAGAAATACAAGATTTCTTCATTTCATTTCCAAATGAGATGATATTCAGTAACACGGCTTGAAATTTGAAATATAAAGTTCCATGTGGAATTGATCATGTAACATCCTATTTAGCCACATTCTAGTTAATTCCTGTCTTTGATGCCTGGATGGCTGCTAAAGATGTCTCAAAATAGATACATAGCTGTTTTATCAGAAGCTTGCACAATTCTGTGAATGACAACCAAAAGTTGAATTGAGCAACCTAAACATTTGTCTCAGGTGCCTGACTGGTTACCTATATGTAAAAAGTAATCAAAGACCCTGCAGGAAATAATAAGGTAGTAAACCTGGGCAATACATGTGTATTTTGCCATATTAAAGCAATGGTTGTGAGGCATATTTTTATTCATGCTCATGTGGTTGTATGCACTACAGCATATCCTAAATTTGATGTTCTTTTTTTTTTTTTCTAAATTCTGATTTCAAATCAGTGCCAACGCTTTCACAAATATTACATTCAAAGATGTCAATTTAATTTGACCATATCCAAGATGTGAAGACTATTAATTTAATTACGCTTTCTCTATTTTTACAGAAAATCTTGGTGATGTGGACCTTGATCTAATCCGGACGTCAAATCTGCTACCTAGCTCAGCGGCCAAACACAGAATATCTGTGGCGCCCTCTAACAGGAGACCAAGTAGAAAAGCACGTGCTCGGACACCGCAGGTAAATTGCCCCCCCCCCCCCCCAAAAAAAAGCCTCATTCATATTTACTCTTGCTGTGTTATTATATATTCATGTATTTATCATAATAATTATGTATTTCATTAAGTGATTATTTGTTTTGATCTAGCTAGAGGTTCACTGCTTGGGTAAGTATTGACGATAGGTAAGACAAATTTTAGCAAATATAATTGTTTAGATTGAAAAGATATATCCATTCATTGTATGTTCAGGTCAAATTCATGCCATTCTTGTATTGTATTGGAAAATTTGATTTTGAGCATGCTACTTGCATTTTGTATATTACCTCCTCTTATGAGAGTGAAGAGGTTCTTAAAATTGTCTGTTTAGAGATAAAAGGGCTCTCTATATGAGTTAACACCCTTGTGACTCCAAACAGATAAAATATTGCATGAATGAATCTAGATTTTAGAGTGCATCTAATCCCATCTTTCCTTATCCATGGGTATTCCATTATTCAGCTTTCAGAAGAAAAATGCACATGTATTTTATTCACACAGTTTTTTGAAAATCAATCATTTTCAATCAATGATTGAATTTGCAGAAGGGAAAATTTGTTTCTCTCTTTGGAAGAAAGAGAGTTGTTGAATCTGCACAAATATAGATATATATGAATATATGAATAACACCCTGGTAACAACATTTTCCATCAAGAGGATTAAATTGTGCAACAATTGCACATTTTTTCTTCCAAGAATCTTGTATAAATAATCATTTACACAATTTCAAAAGACTTCTGAGAAATTATATTGTCAACTCAAGGGCACTTTCACTACTATAACTGTATATCCCATTTAAATCATGTTCAGATAATTATGTCACTGGATATTTGTGCATCTCCATAGTTGGTGGACAAGGCTATTGAAATTGTCTTTGGTATATTATTAAACGTTGTTATCGATTATGTCCATCTTCTGTAGTGCTAGATCAAGTTCCCCCAAAGACGAACATGTTTCAAGCATAGAAAACATATCGTCTGCTTACATCTTTAAAGTACAGCTTAATATTGAATAACATGCAAATTGCCACAACGTAGTTATTACAGTTCCCTTGTAGGCTAATAATGAGACATCCTTCGCCTTATTTCCATTTGACCCCATGTCCGATCACTGTCAGGGGCTAGTCCCAGCCAGTTAGACTTATTAGCCCAATCACTCCTTAACTCTCATTCTCACCTCTGTTAAACACGTACAAGGGGGCCACATTTTGGGATTTCGCTCAGTAAACTTTGATTCTTCTTCTTCCAGTCATCTTCAAAGGGCCATGCAGCCTATCATGTGTAAGATTTAGAGCCCTTAAAAATATACTACATGCATCACCAGAAAGACCAACAATATCTGCACATATTATTCCAATTTTGTTTTGTCTTAGTATGGTTTTACTTTTGCACCAGGACTATTTTAATTGGAAAGTGCAATTAAGTCTTTAAATTGGCAACACATTAAGAAGTTCACAATATCATTTTAATTGGAAGTTAACAAAAAAAATTGTTGACAATTCAAAATCTTGTACATATTTTTTTCCCTCCAGATTCATGACCTCATAGAAAATTTAGCGATGACACAAAAATTCCAGTGTTTTTAATTGAGTGAATTAAATTGATAAATGTAGTGCTTAAAGATTAATGTCCTGAATGTGTTAATTGAATAATACAAAGGAAGTCAGCCCACACCTTGACTCTGTGTCTACCCCAAAACCAATTATCTCGTTAAGCTCTGATTACAACATTGTAATGCTGTCTGGGACAAGACTTACATAGCTGCCATCGGTAGTGTAGAAACTGTGACTCCTTGCAGTCCTTTTACTTTCCTGGTAGAAAATGAAAGTGGGTTCACAGGTAGTGATATTTTATGTAGTAAACCTTTTTTTACCCTAAGAAGAAAGAAAGTTTGTGTTTCATGACTTAAGATATGGGTAAGATATGTTGCACATTATAAATGTCTGCATTACTACATTATAGGCAGATCCCTTCAGGTAAAAGAATCAAATTAAAGTAACTGTAAGTTAGTACTACAAGTATGTTATGAATACGGTATGTTTCCCAAAGAAAGTATACATTAGCAGTAAACCCCCCCCCCCCCACTTCCCCTCAATCTGTCTGTATGTGCCTCACCTCTGTTACGTTATCTCACAATGAGTAATATTTCTTCATTTAAAATGTAAAGGAGGTCCACATACATTATATGGACACAAATTCTATTGATTGTTATATGTTCTGCCAAATAGTAGCCCATGGGCCTTAATTTAAAAAACAAAATGTACCGGAAGAAAATTAAATCATTTACTGAAAAAACGCTCCAAACAGTGCAGGGTTTGGTGTCAGTTCAATATAATGAAGAACTATCATCCCCTCCCCACCCCCTCCTTCTCTCCCCTTCCCTCTATGTCCAACACAGTTGCCCTTCTTTTTACTCCTGCTGGTCTTGGGGCCCCTTAATATCCTTGCTAAAAATATATGGAGCTATCTTTGGAGCAGTTAACAGCGAGTATATGAGAGGAAAGAAATATGACCCTTAAGTTTCTTTGCAAGACATTAATCTACATTAATCTACATTTGCCACTCTACACCCAGTTGAAGTAAATAGGTGCCCAGTAGGAAGAATACTTTAGTGCCTAATAATGGCGGCTCAGCCACAGCTTGGATAATAGTAGGGTACTATGTATTAAGCGCAATAGAGTATATTTATATAGAAGCTGAGCTATATAAAAGTACCTATTTTTAATATCATGAGACAAATGACTAGAATGTACAAGATATTAATTGAAATAAAAAGATGTTGATGTGCCAGTATCATGAGCCCAAGATAATCTACATCATCCATGATCTAATTTGATCCATTTAGAAAGTTGAGGTATTCCTCCTGTCATGATATATATATATACAAATATATATTTTAGGTATTAAGGTTATACATCTACATGTAATATTAGTATATTTAAATTGAAATCAGTCATAAATTATATAAACAACAAGATTCTGAGTAATACAAACACTGTTTGAAATATTTATTTTTCCAAAACATGATAAATTTGTTTATAATTAAGTTTGGCTGGGAGATCCAGGTTCAAATAGCCAAGTCAATGCATTAGTGCCCTTTGGTATGGCATTAATCCCCATTACCAAGTCCATCGGTGAGGACTTAAAGCTGTCGGTCCTCCGGTTACTTACTTACAAGCATACACATGCTTTCTTAGCAGTCAGGTAAAACAAACCAACAATTTTAAAATCTGTTCATGAGGGAAACAGGTAGTTAAATTGAACTTGTCCTTTCATAATTTGATATGGTCTTTAAATCTATTTTTGTGTTCTCCTTGCAAAATTCTATAATTGGAAGAGACATTTCAATGAGTAGTCTGTCATCGTCCTGTCAGTATTATGGCATTTCTCATATATATGATACCATATAGACAAGGAAGGGGTCTAATGTCTCAACTCTCAAGCCATTTTGAAGGTCTCGGGTATTTTTACTTTCTGTCTGTTTAAAAAAAAGGTGCTATCTAGCATCCCAGATTAAAGTTGCAGTAGTACTATTTACGCCTGTGTCGATTTAATAATAATATAAAAATTTAAAAAACGGTGCTTATAAAGCGCTTACCACTGAAGTCTCTGAGCGCTATAACAAACAAAATACATTGATAAACAATTACATAATGAACAAAACAAAAAGAAAATGTAAATGAACCTACAAATTACAATGCATATGAAATATACATCGATGTGAACAGAGTAACTTAATCAGAATCAGAAAAGCAATATTGAATAAATAAGCTTATAGAAGATTTACCAAAAGTTTTTTTTAGTTGGTTTCCATGTCTTCACAATAATATACCCCCTCTCAAGAATAAAAGGTGGACTGCTTGACATTGTTACGGAGTGTACATTACAAGCTTGTGAGAGGACCTGTCAGCTCTACACCTGCATCCTGTCAAAGATTAGAAGGGGGAAGGAATCTCACGATTGGCCCCTTGTTGATCTATCAAGATGACACATATGAATGTAATACTTTGAAAAGAAACAGATACAGTTGACTGAATTTGTCATGCCCCTTGTAGAGTTGATTTTTTTTTTGTGCTTCTCGTAACTCAAGAATGACAGGTGAACCTGTTGAATCATTACCTTTGTTGAACACTTTTAGATGTAAGCTTTGATATGTCACATACTTAAGAAACAACTGAAACATAAATTGGGACAAATCAACTGCTTATGAAGTTACAAAACTTGGTAAGGGTATGAATGATTTAGTTGTATAACTGTTTAGTGATGTGTTGTTCTTGACAGCATAATACATGTAGGTCAAGATAGAGAAGGAAATGTATTATGAATAACAAGGGCCAGGATTTCTATGTTGATGATTGGAAGGCACTTGCTTATGTGACATTTTTTCTACAGTCAATTTCTATTGTTTGTTGAAATCCTAATCAAACACTATGGCCCGAATTCACAAAGGAGGTTTGTCGACAAACCAAGGTTTTTGTGCGTCACATGACGCGTTTTTACAAACCAGGTTTGTAAAAACCGCGTCAAAACGCGTCATATGACGTACAAAAACCTGGTTTGTCGACAAACCTTCCTTTGTGAATTCGGGCCAATATGTATATCTCACTCTACTCCTAACCCTTACCCTACACATAATTTAAACCTTAATCTTCACACAAGCTACAGTACTATATCTTTGAGCAAAACAAAAGAAGCCCAGAACAAATGTCACAGAGCAAATACATGTCTCAGATCCTTTTTTCAATCGCTGCATTTTATTTTTATAACTTGGATAATGTTTATTTTTATAAGATACAATCCTCTCTTTGTTGTTGACTACAAACGTGTGGAATGTATATTAATAATTCATCTTTCTTCTTTCTTTCCTCTCATTCTTTCTCTCTACAGAAGCGGTCCAGCAGCCGACTTGATGATGCCCCCTCCCCCATAGCAGAAGAGCCCACTACCCCCACAAAGAGTCCCACCCCTCTTGATCTTGACAGTGAGTTACCTTTCCCTGGTGTGGCGCTCTCTATGAGCTCCACCCAGCAACATTCCAATGGCTCCTCTTCCAAACCCAAGGCCGCCAAGGGCCTGGGACCCATGGTCCTCCCTCCCCTGCCCCCGTTTGGCCCCAAAGGTAGTAGAAGTAGGAAGATAGAATCTACACCCGCAACAGATATTCTATCCACCAACTCTGATTTCCCCTCTGATAGTGCAATATTTCCCACCAAGGGAGCTCAGAGTGTAAGTGAGAAGAGTAGGATAGATGTGATAGAAAATCAAAAGAACGGTAATGACGTAAAAAGGGAAAAGGGTAGGCACGAAGATATAGATAAGTTGCTAGATGTAGACCCAGCGTTGTTTGGGGATGATGAAAAGTTAAGGGAAGCCGATAGTACTAAGAAGGTGGGAGGGGGTGAAGGGAAAGGTGAGATGAATTTCGAGCTCGAGGGAGACGGTTTAGGGTTGATGGACGCTGATATATTTGGCGAAGGAGATGGAGAGATGGGAGAAGGGTTGGGGATCGCCAGCCTGGATCTCCTAGTCGATCTTCCTGATCCCCTGGATCTGGGGAAGAACATGTTCGGGGTGGAGACGATCATGGAGGAAGACGAAGAGGAGGAGATGAGAGAGGAGTTGGAGGAGGGAAGCGACGACTTCCTGGAGGACGAGTCGTCGGTGGAAGAAGTGGAAGAAGAAGAGAAGGAAAGAGTGAAAGTAGGAACGGTTGCAGCCATGATTAATAGTGTTGAAGGAGAGATTAGGAAAAGTCCACCAGAAGAGAGGAGGAGGAAAGGTAAAGAGATGATAATGGAGAAGAAGAAGAAAGAAGAGGTAGAGGATGCTAAAATGGAAGATGAAGTACAGGTTACAAAGAATGATGAGCTCAGTAGCTCTGTGAAAGAAGATAAAGCTGAGATGCCGTCCGCTCATGCAGTCAAGAGCATGACGGATGATCACGTTGCCATGGATACGGATAAAGATGATGATAATGATATTAATGATAGTAATTATCCAGGAATCAATGGAAGGCTCCCCTCAGCTGAGGACTCTGTAATGGGCTCCGTCAAGTTGACCTGTGAAGGTAAAAAAAGTTTTGAATTTGTGCCACAAACTTCGTACGAAAATCAAGAGTGTTCTGTCAAACATCCATGTGTAGTAGGTGTGTCTCGTCTTCCCATTAATTCTGTGCACCCTCTTCCCATCCCCATCCCTCGAATCATGACATCCGCCCGCATGCATGGCCTTGCAGTCAATAACACTAGCTCTCATCATGAGGCAGAAGGGGGAGTATTCATGATTTGCGAAAAGAGTAAGGTCAGATGCTTTCTCCAAAATTTATAGTTTTCCTAAAGATTTTCATGAATTGAATGGAATTTATTTATTATCCACTAAAAAATGGAAATGTGTTGCTCACTGGTATTACAAACAATGTACACAATTATACAAATTATGAATCATAACTAAATAACAACAAATAGAAGATTAAGCAGGCTTTTGTTATATTGTTATAGAAGAAGAACCTAAACATTAAAATGAACCTAAACTTACTCAAGATTTTGTATAGTTATGTTTTTAGAAGCAGCTAATTGCTTACTGTCATTTTATTTCTATTTTTAGTTTATTTGCTTGTCCCTCTGTGATACCGATACATTAAAGAAACAAAATTAATCATATTAAATAAAGTCATTGACAATATAAAGCATTGATTGACAAAAATGTAACCTATTTGAGATAATCTTACGGTAATACTAAATTTGTTAAATATATGTTTAAATTTAAACTGGTACATCGCAAATTATAGAGTATCCCCCCTATCTGTGTATTATTTTTGTATTACATATATCTTGATTGTCTGTGCTCGTTCTTTTCTTTTCTCTGATTTCTGAGTAAACTTTTGTTAACTCATTTTTGTCAAGCCTCTTGTTCCTGTATCTCAATTTCTTTTCTTTTTTTCTACTCTTGAAAATGTTTCAGCAAAGTCCATCATCTTGTAAGGCAGCATTGTAAGGGTGATTTATTCCCTACCTGCCCCAACCCTTTCCACTGCTTTAAGGAGAATCAGAGTAGAATTTTCTCTGGGAAATATGGTTGCTATTTAGACTGATTCTTGGTGTATGTTTAAATCTGCCAATACAATGTAAGCTCTTCAAATCCTTTCCATACTTTGTCGTCAATCCAGTTGAAGATTCTTAGGGATTTTATAAGATTATCAGCTGGGGCCATGGCATCTGAAAAAGGAATCAAACTTCTGCTAAGCGAGTGTTTTGCTTATTACATTAAGTCACATTTCACCTAAAATCAGAGTTTGTCTAAAAAAAAAAATAATTAAATGCTGCATACGTGTGTCTTGAAATTGTTTTGAGAAAACAAAAATCCTGCTGAGTGAGTTGTATTTGCATCGCTTCAAATCACATTAAAAACAATTAATTCACTCATCATGGTCTTGAAAGTGAAAAATTGCAGCATCACTAAAAAATCCTCCCTTTTGTCATTGATTATTGCTCTTAATTTTGTTTAAAACTCAAGCATTTGATTGCAAATACTACAACGTACATCCTCCAACAAGCCCTTTAAAGATTTGTTAGAATTTGTTTGGTGCTGGCTTTAATCGGAAACCTTGATTTTGATCTCCAAGTGGGGAATGAGCAATATGCTGTAAAAGGAAAGGAAAGGAGGGCTTATTAAATACTTCCGCTATTGGGCTACCTGAAGGCTTTACCAGTTTGACATGTTCAAGGTTATGTTTTTGCTGATTGGAAAAAATAACATATAGGTAAAGCCAGGACAGGATTCATTGGCATGAGTGGGATGTCTTGGTTGCTATGGTGATAGTGACTTGACCAGTTTGAAAGATTATCAATCCCTTGCAATATTCTCTTCATTTTACATGCAGAGCCTATAAATCCATGGCCATTTGGTATATGGTATAGTACGAGACAAAAATAAAAAATATTGTCTGCTGTCAAATTTGATATCAACCAATATGACGTGTAGGAAGTGCTGTATGAAGACAACAACTTAGAGGCAGATTTTGTCAAAGGGAACTATTTTGGTCAGACTATGACATTGAATAAACTTCACACTACACTATAGTTGCGTGGTATTATGACATTTTTCTTTAGGTTCGCACTTGAAACATGATCAAAATATGTTTCAATCAATATATATAAGATTTTCACAACTTTGGGATATTTAGGTTAACAGTTATTGGTGAGTAATCAGTTTTGTGGCTACCGGTACCCCTCCTTTTGAAGATATATTTTGTATTCTTCATGAAAAAATATTTTGTATCCTTCATGAAAAATAGCAATTCATCAACATCACCTGCGATAACAGCTGCATCGTTCGCTAAAAGCATCATTTATCATCACCATTCAAATCTTCTTTAGAAATGAATGTATATCATTGTCTCAGAACATTTATTAAAATAATAAATGTGACCAGCTAACATGACATTTTTTGTTCTAAGAAGAAGTGTATCTTTAGGATAAGAAGTACGAGTTCATTATCAAGGGCTACCTTTGAAATTCCAATTAGACATGGCAATTTTATGCATAAGAGATTTGGGAGTTACTATCGTAAACTGCCTGTGGTCTCCTTCCCTTTAATTTCAATTGCCTCCATGAAAATAGTGTTTCCATTTGCCGCATCATAGCTTACATATACTTGCATCATAAATTGCCTTTATTTTCATCTGATTTTATTAGAAAATGTTCATCCAGCATTCATCTTTCAATTACCCCCAAATTTCTGTCTACTCTTAGTTTCTTTCATTTTCATGTTGAATGTATTTCATTATAAGGCTACAAATGGCTCTCCATAATATTTAAGTCCAACTTAGAATCTTTGTAAAAACACCCCCCAGGAATTTTGTTTCATACTATGTATCCATGTTTGGATTTCAGAGTCCAATTTTGATGGCATACAGTTGAACACAGTGTCAAAACAGTAACCACTTAGATGATATCATTCTGTCCGAAAAGGGACACCTGTTGTTTGTTTAGTTCTATTTCTTATACTTCTTATACAAGGGAGGTTTAAATTACAAAAAGTTGGTGGTCTTACTTTCTTTGACCTTGACCCGACAGGGACACTGACTCAAAATCATGCAGAGGCTGGTACATGTACCTGTTCCGCAGACTTCCTTTGGTCTTATCTTGCACTTTATGGCAAGAAGTCTCCCAGTCAATTATTAGGTCGAAAATCGATCTTGACATTTACTAATTGTCAAGGTTGTAACCCAGACAAACTTAATGAGCTCTGGCGTACGGTGTCTGAGAATGTTGAATACATGTAGTTTTGAGTACAGTCAAGTATAGCTCGGTGCAGCCATTTTGAGATTGGTCAGGTCAGTATTGAAAACTAAAAGCTCCTCTATAAAGTGTTGGGAGCCTCAAAAATTTGATGGCAAAGTTTCACTTAAATTGTATCATATTGAGAAAAGGATGTCATTTAAGACACTCTTTGGCACAGATTTCCCAATTTACCAATGGTAAATGGTAATGGTATTCGGGTCCATTCTCCCAAATGCTGAGGATTTAGATTTGATTTGAAAACTCTAAAAAGGAGATCTGTTTTATCGTATGAATTTAGGGGAAGGGATAATTATCAGAAATGTCCCTGGAAGAAAAAATAAAAGAGATGGTTGCATATTCAATCTTTATTGGCTACTCCTTGACAAATGCATAAGTGGTATTATCATTTCAAAATGTTCTTGTACTAATGTATTCCTTGTATTTACATGTAGATGATTGAAACTATTGAAACTAAACTTTCCTTTTAAGATGCTTCTTGACTCATTCTCTTATAGAGGTCAGTTTAGTTTATTACACTCATAAAGATTAGAGATGGTTTAGAGAATAGAGATCAAGTTTTATTTAGCCAGGATATGCCCTAGCAGGCCTATGACTAGTTGCTTGTATGTACTTTGTCAAGGTAGTTGTCATTGATAGGTCCCCACCTTAGGCTATTCCCACACCACGAAATACCAAATAGTTGGACAAGCATTTTTAACAATACTAACAACTAAGAAGGCATCCATATCCGGGAGGATGGAGGGGGGGGGGGGGTACTCACATATTAAAAGATATGGGGATGTGCCGCATCTAATGGGTCGCTTTTCACACAAAAATCCTAGAATGGTTCCCATTTTTACCAAAATATCACTAAACATGGGTCCTTTTTTCCAACATTTCCAATATTTTGGGGTATTTGCATGGCGAACACCCCAAAATTGTGGGAAATGGGCCTATATTTTGAGCAAAATCTGCCAAAACCGACCCTTGAAAATGGATAGGGGTTCGAGACTTGAGCGGCACTCCCCCTCCAAACCAAATCTGAGTACATCCCCCCCCCCCCCTCCTTTGGGTCCGTATCAAGCCTCAAAAGACTTTTGATCAGGTTCATCAAATACATCATGGAACATAAGCAAGAATGAGTAAAGTTTGTAACTGTAAGCTACAATGGATGTGTTTGGGTTGGGATAGGTGACGTTGGAAGCTTGGCTTTCACTGGATTCTTATCTACATTGCTCAACCAGCTAATTCGTACAGCATCAAATACTCTCATCTGTATTAATGCATGATGTTGGTTACTGAAGAAAAGATAAAAATTGATTGTGGTTTGTATAATACAAAATCTTCTTGTATGATGTAACTTGGATTAGGAGTTGCAGCAAAGGTAAGTGAGCTTCAACAACAAAAAGTTCTCGCCTCCAAATGGAATCTCCTACCTCATCAAGCTGCTATTTCTATGAAACTTGAATTTTCTATCAGAATAAGTCCAACTAAAGCATGCATAGTACATGTACATTTACCATCTCATAGCATGTGTCTATAGTAGTTAGCATGTTGTTGTTTTTGTTTCTTCAGGAGTCGTTCTGGGAGAATGTAAGGGTAGCTTTGGCAAGCCTCTTTGTTTGGGTGGTTAGGTATCGGTCTAAGATCAACTTGCAAAGTGGGGTTCACGGTTATTACTGACTTGATTGTGCCTTGAAATAAAGCAGTGGGCCTATGGCAGAAATGGTTGAAGGAGATATCATTCTGTATGATCAGGGTAAAATGACAGTTCACTTTTCAGTGGCTATCGCGTCAGTATACTTGTTATATTAAAGTGAAGTTTGATTAAATTGCAAAGTCAGAAACACAAATGGGGACGGGGGGGGGGGGGGGGGGAGCAACATTTCATAATAAAGTAGCTGAATAGTGATCTTTAACATATTTTTCTTATGAATAGAATACTGGTAGATGAAATGATAATTGACAAATTTGTTGTACATGTTCATGTAACAAATTGGGTTGTCTTTTCCTGTCAGCTCATTACACAGATATCTTCTTGTATTTAGTCATCTTAAAAATACTTCAGTATGATACGTACATGTAAGCTGTAGAGAAAAGTATTTCTGAGATACACAGGCATCAATTTTAAACTGATTAATTTTTTATCTTGGTAATGATTGAGACAGCATTTTGAAATTTACTTTGAAAATACGATATATCTTAGAACCTTAAAACCCACCCATCCTGAGCCCATTATAATTTAGTAGTGCATGTCTAGCACCTTACGATTTGATTCTATCATTCTGCTGGGTGCATAAAGGATGTTAACTCTAAATGAGAGTATAACATCCTTCTGGCTCTAGCAGATGATACATGTATATTTTTGTTGATTGAATGTCATACGTTATTTTGCAAAATATATTTGTTTCTTTCATTAGATGAGGAGAAGGGAGACACGCCCAAGAAAGATGCAGTACCCGTCGTCATCATTGAGTCCCCATCTTCAGATGACCTCAAGTCCACCCTTGAGGGTGACTCCCAGGGAGAGTTGGGACAGGAGGAGGAGGAGGAAGAGGAGGAGCCCATGATCCTTCCTCAGATTCCCAAAGAGGTCATCATCATCATGAAGGATGACCCACCCAAGAAGGATGATACCAAGAAGGAACCTGAGAAGGAGGCGAAGCCCAGCACCCCAACCACACCCGTACCACCAACAACACCGGTAGAGACCAATGCCCCAGAGGAGGATGCAGCTGCTGCATCACCACCACCACCTGAGATGAAGAAGAAAGAGGAGGTGGAGAAGGAGAGCGCAGAGACGGAGAAAGACGTGGAGGAGAAGAAGGAAGAGGCGGATGCCGTCGAGGAGAGACGGTTGAGTGTGGCTGCAAGCAAGGCTCTCTTCGAAGCCAGAATCCCCGCTGGTACGGAGCCCACCAAATCAAGCAATAAGGGGGTTGTCAATGGCAACGGTACGCACAAGGCAGAAGCGAGGCGATCCAGTCAACCTATCGAGGCAGTTCCGGAGACCAAAGCTGAAGCAGACACCAAGCTGTCAGAGAAGGAAGAGAAGAAAGTGGAGAAGAAAGAGGAGAAGGAAGATGGGAACGAGGAGGAGGAACCTGTCTTCACAGATAAGGAGGAAGCTGAAGAGTCTAAAGAGGAACCAGTCAGTCTCAGAGACAGAATCTCAAAGTAAGGGAGAGAAAAAATTAGTGTTGGTGCTTTTTTAGTTGTATTTGCCCAATGTTGCCAATTGAGACAATGAGCACACATGTACAATGTCATTAAAGATTTTGTTTTACTTGGTATTGTATTCAGATGTAAACCTTTCAGCGTTTAAAATATCAAGTAAATTTAACTTTTGATGTCAAGTTATGTTCATTATTCTATTGAAAGTACGAAGTTAAACATTAATCACAAAGTTAACATCTACAAAAAATCTTGTACTTGCCCATGGTGTAATAACATGCATATGCAATATACTTCCATGCCACTTTTGATATTAAGCGAACATGTGCATCCAATATGTGCTAATCTTGTTCCCAGACTATGCAATCAGCTATAATTTTCTGTTAATGTCAAGGAGAACAAATTCTATATTTTATGATAATGTTTAATGCTTTTAATTAAAGCCAACTATGAAAACTTAATCTAATTAACTTTTTAGTTTATTTTTAATCGGCATGGAAGAGAGGAATAATGATTTAATACATGCTTATTCAGTTGATTCTTTGTCATGTTATAGGGGCACAGTAGATTGAGTAAAGGTCGGTTGAACCTGTGGTTATGAGGGCCTTTGGAGTTTACAGTCCACCATGTAGTTGTTACACAGTCCACAATTAAGATCTGAACCCGTTTTGTCTTTTTATACGTCTTTGGTCCTGGTGGGGCATATCTTGATTATATTCCTACTAGCCTTTGGGAGATGCAGAACACCAAAGCTTCCTGTGTCCTCTGGAATGGCTGACTCAGAAATAATTTGTCTAAATAATATATATATTTTTCTATAATATTTATTTTAAAAAAATTAAAAATTGTCTAAAGAGGCTTTTTGTTAACCTTGACCTACCTGAATTTAACGAAAGAGAATTACCCCTTTTTCACTATACTAGAAAAGATGGAGGGATTTTCATAGGAAAATTACAGAGTATCTTGTGGTACACCCAGTGATTATTATCACCTGGAGAATCTAAATATTTACATTTCTGTGCAGACTATACAGCTAGTCTTGATCACTGGGAGTTATTAAAGCATGACCCTTTCTTAAGAAAATGATGTGTTCTTTAAAAAGTTTGTGATTTCTTTTCATCTCCCATCAAAATTTTCAGGTACCAAAACCTAGCCACCAAGACGTCAGTGAAGGGCCTAACAGCCCATGTCGGGACGCGAAGCAGCCCCTCAAAGCAGAGACCAGCCTCGACCAGTAACATCGAGAACAAGGACTCGCCCAAGAAGTTTGCCCCAAAGGTGAAAGACGATATTTCCTCCACAACTGACACACTAGACTTGGTAGACCAGCCTAAGACCAGAGGTATAGGTGGTACCCACTAAGGCATGGTCTGCAGGCATTTTGGAATAAGGGCCTGGTGCATGAGTCTGTTTTGTGCATATTGAAGATTCAGGTTGTTTTATTAAACAGGGGAAATGGTTTGTACATTTTTTTGGTCGAACAAATTTATACCAAAATCATAGCAGTGAAATTCAAGTCCTTCATGTTGCACATCAATTCATAGTATTTCTTTCAAATAGATACAAGATGTTCCCAATTTTGGGGGGTAACAAGAGTTTTAAAAATAATTAAATAACAAAATACAAACAAAATGGGATTTCTTTAAATCAATTTTTATGAGCATTGTCAATCTGTTAATATAAATAATCTCATCAAATTTTGCTGGGGGAGGGGAGGGGGGGCACATGAATGAAATGTATGCACAGTTTTTGTTGTTTCATCCTCCCCCAAATCTTTCAATGAAGACCTTCAACCTGTGCTCTTCTACATCTTCCTTCAAATTACACCATCAGAAAATGTCACTGGTAAACAGGAAAGGGTTTATGTTAAGGTAGGGAGTTAGGAGAGAGAGGGGGTGATAGACAAAAAGGGTGTTCTGCCCTATGGATACCATACAAAAATAATGGTGAAATATTTAGTGAAGTATTTGCATTTTCCCTTGAGTTCCTTGTGGTATGGTATGCATGCACATTAATTCCTGTTTTGTATTTTCAGTCTAAGTGCATGTAATCTATTATTGAGTCCAACCATCTTTCCTACTAGATTATATCTATCCATCAGTTTATATATCAATCAATTGTCTATGCATGTAATGCACTAATCTATTGTACCTACGTGTACCTACCTCTATCCTTTTCTCCATTAATTTGCCCTAATGTGTACTTACTTAATATTGCCTTTTCATCTTTTATGTGTCTGTTTTGATTTGGGGTCTGTCTACTTGTCTTAAAAATTCCATTTATTGAGAAAAAATATCTTACTTCAATTTGCATGTTTGTCAGGACATGGATTTATCTGTGGAGAATTCAGAAAGACATGTGGTAAGAAATAATGAAACGCAAAAACTTTACTGCCACTTCAATTTAAGCTTTGCAATAAAAATGAGCTCTTAATTACAAATATGTGTTAATGGTATCTGTTTCTTACAAAGCCCCTTTAACAGCAAACTAATCCGAGTGCTGAAACAAAATGGTGTAGAATTTCAATGCATACAAGCTTACGAGCTAACAAGACTAGGGTGGCGGCCTGTTAGGCACTCGCAATCATTATGAAAAAGGGATTATGTTTTCCCTCCATCTATCCAATGTATTTATTTGTCTGTTCAGTGGCTTTTTATCTTTCTATATATGTATGTACTAATTATCTGCATTTACTTGTAAATCTCTCTCTTTACTATTTTGTTATCATGACTTTGCAGGAAATGTGAATGTTTCCTGGCATTTGCCATTTTTGGGGCGAAATACCTTGATTTCTAGTGTCAATGTTTGTTTTACCTGTTCATGTGCAGTACAGCTTTTCAACGCCATAATCTCTTGCCTCTCCATAATCTGGCTTTAATCGTGCGCTCACATCTTTCTCTTATCATTCATTGTCTGCATCTTTCTCCCTCTCTCACCTCACCGGTCTTGTTTTTTCCAAATCTCTCGATGAAACCTCACTCTTCCCGCTCTAACTGGAATGCTATTTTGTGGCAATACTTCCTGGGAAAATGCTAGCATTGCATGAGTCACCCTGGATGTCATTCTTCACAGATTGAAAGAAAATAATTCAAGAGGGATTACTTCTAAACATGAGGAACTATACCTGAAAAATATCTCTGCCTTTAAAGGGATCTGGTAACTTTGTCTTAGATCCTTTAGAAATAATCCTTGATTTAGCTCATGCTGCAATGATAATTATAAACCTTTAGGTCAGTCAGGAACTCCATGACTTTTACAAGCCGATCGCCTGTCTGATTATCAAGATATTAATGATTGGAGTTACAAATTTTAAAAACCGTTCGCTGAACGGTTTTCATAACACTACAGTCTATTGGGGAAAACGAGTATGGTAAAACTGGTCACTCAAAGATTTTTATTTTTTTGAGGCACTTCTTGATCATTTTTAAGCGCAATTTTTATAGGGCTTCAATATTACACCATATCACAGACACTGGTAACATGTAGGACCGTGTATCTCAGATTATTTAACATTGTTAAACGATCCCTTTAATAGTAACAAAGCCATACAATACAGAATGAATGGCTTTGTTACTACTGTATTTCACTGCTGATTGTGGTTAATAAGAAGTGCATATTCATGCAAAAGATTCAAGCATTGAAAAACTATGGAATGCAAGCTAGGTACAAAATATGTTTTGTAATCTCTCGATAAGCACAAATCTTTGGGACTTTGCTCTCGAAGTAAACAGGAAGAAGCATTTTATTTTTTAAATGATCCATTAGTGATGTTGAGGAAAAAATGCTTCTTGAACACAATGGATGCAGTGATTCACAATGAAATAAATTTGATCTGATTGAAAAAAATTGGTGACATCACCCCATTGTACAATGTAGGATACATAACGAAGGCAAAGCCTCATTGTCAATACGACACAAGGTCCTACTTTTCACATAGTTGCTTATCTATTAAGTTTAATTTTAGTTTGTCCAGGATGTTAGGTGGTGCCTTGGAGAATTAGTTTACTTATTTAATCACCTGTTGAATGCAATTAAACCACAAGAATAGAGAGACAAAATGAAAAGGAATCACTTGTCTCGTTTCTAGAAACTACAGTTTTAAGTGAGTCGTGCATGTCAAATGCTGGAAATATTCAGGATTCTTTCTACATTAAGACATTTTTACAGTGGATTTTTTAAGGGTTGATTAGTGGTGCATACAAAATCAAATACACATACATGTATGTTTTCCAGTGGCTTGGTAACATACCAGGGTTCGGCCCCAAGTAATTTTTTAATTTTTTATTCTCATTTGTGGATTTAACCTTTCACCGTAATAGGCTGCAATGTTGTTCTTGCCAGCAAACTCACAAATACATGTTGAATTCCATGAATATTTGTGTTCTATCATTACCAGAATTTAAGATGAACATTTGCAATAAACAACTTAAAAGAAAACAAATAATGTTTACAAACTTGTTTCTGAACATCAAATATTTTTCCCTCAGGCCCTTTACAAATTATTAGATGATAAAAATAAATATTAAAAAAGTGGGAATGTGCAAGGGGGGGTTATTTGAAGGCCTACATGTATATAGTATTTCAGTTATGTGAAGTAAAATTGCCCCAAGCAAGTAGGTCTTGTCTCATCAAATCTCATTTCGGGGTATTCAAGTTTTCAATTGAGGATGTACACATACATGTACAAGAGATTCTGACTTATATCCACAATAACAATAGTTTGAACTATAAGACCGGAAGACAAGCCCCCATAATGGGGTTAATCCATTTTTGCCCAAGTTCAGTTAGAGGGCGGTGTACTCAGCTCTTAGGTAGAATGTTGACAATGACATGGGATCCACATTGTGTGACAGAAAGAGGAAGACTGGAAACACATCTCGCTAGTGTAATTGGCACTGACAGCGAGTCACAAGACAGAGATCATGTGGTAGAGAAGTGACTACCACTCCTTCCCTTCTTAACCCTCATACTCCCAACATTAATCTGGTACATTGCTTTTAAATGCAAAGGCTAGATTTGTCTGGATCTCTTGGGTTTATGGTTGATGATCTTATTCCTATCTAACTTTTGAATATTAAGCTTATAATTAGGGCATTATCTGTTGTACTTGAGGAAATACCAATTAGATTAAGATTAAAAGAACCTCAAAAACGATGCTCACACCGACATTTAGCAAGACAGTTTATGCTTAGAATGTATTAAAGGAAATACCGGTACTGTGTGGTGAACTGGCATTTTTTCCTTGGACAATTGTTCCAGCCTATATTTTGTCAAAGCTGTAGGGTTAGGGTTGGGGTGACGGTTGCAATTGGGTTTTAGGTAAGGTTTAATGGTAGGGTTAGGGTTAGGTATAGCTTTGGGTCCAGGGTTAAAGTTAGTGTAGGGTCTTGACCCAGCTAGAGTAATTCTTGCTGGAGTAAATCTGTGTTGTATAACCACCTGCCTAGGCCCCTCACATAACATTTACATTAAATCAGGTCTCATGAATTCTTTTTGCAATCAGTCATGCAAATACATGAATGTGGCTTTGTTAAACCAGTACATACTATTTATGCAAGCCCAAGATAACATTTTGCTGGAATCTAAGGGAAGTATTAGGTTAGTGGGTTAATGATATAAGGTACCACAGAAGGAATTACTGCCTTTTCAAGTATCAGTGATTAGTTGTTGTTGTTGTTGTTTTCTAAAGGCATGAATACAATTAAGGAAAGAGCAGCTGCAACACTAACAAAAGAGGAAATGAGATGTGTTATTAACACAACTAATAATATATCTTTTTTTAAATTTGAAACAGGAACAGAATATCAAAATCATTTAGTATCATTTTATAATCACAAATATATGTTTTGATATATAGTATCAACGCCAAGTTTCAGGATGTAAAAGCATATGCAGCTAGGCTTGGACGGCAAATGCATTATTTATAAAAAATACCCTCCATACTATATCCATCAGTTTATTCTAAAAATGCTCCAACATGCCCCCACCCCCTCAAACAATATTTGATTGATGCCCCTGTCATGTTCTTTGTGCCAATTTAATTAATTAATTCTTATGTTGATCATTACAATATTATAAATGATTTGCTATTAAAATTAATGTCAATGACATTCAACAGACTGCGAGGGCATGTTGAATCATGTTATGCATGGTAATTACATGTACATGTGTACATTGCATGACTTTGAGTAGGTAAATGGAATGTGCATATTGTTTGTATAGTCTGCATTGCGTGACACAGATTTATCACATGAGGGCATTGTTTGTGGGAGGGGGAAGTGGAGGGGAGGGATAGTAAATCTTTAGAGAGATTCAGAGTGAGTTTGCTTTGTGAATATGCTGCTGGTATTCTATACAAGCTAGTGACTGTTAATAATGCATGATAATCGTAGCTGAAACACATAAATGATGGTTGGACCTCTAATTTCATTAATTTCAAGTCAAAACAAAAACATTAATCTTCTATATCTCATACTTTTCCTGCTGCCTAGGTTCCGTCAAAGCCCTCATCAACAAGTTCCAACAAACCCAGCGGGTCAACGGCAACGACAACCGAACCCTCCAAAGCGTCCATTAATCCCTCATCATCCTCGACATCGACGACCACCACCACATCAACCACCCGCAAGCCCCTCCAACCCAAGATCGATCGCTGCATGGTGTGTGATAAGGCCGTCTACCCCAACGAGTCAAGCAAGTTTGAAGGTCGCGTCTTCCATCGGACTTGCCAGAAGTGCTGCGAATGCAGCCGAACTTTGACCCTGTGGAACCTGGATATCGCTGATGATCACCTCTACTGCAAGCAGCATGGCACAGTGGTGAAAAACAACCAACTCAAAGAGAAACTCATCATTTGATAACAAGGACCAACTCTGCCCTCTCTCTCGTCAACTTTGTCCCTCATCCCTCTTAAAGCTGCTTGACCTAGACTAGATTTTCAGTGTCAAAGACATGATGATTATTGAATAAATACTAGCTATCATTAGGTTAAAGAGTGCTAACAAAAATATCTACCATGTTGATAACTTTTATTGAACATCTGCCTTTGCACATGAACACACTAGAATGCACATGTTTCAGCTTGCTTTGCAGACTGGGTAGCACTTGTGGACTTGCCAAATTTTTAATTTACAATGGTTGCAGAAATGTTTCTTTTTTCACACCCTTCTTAGTAGAGGGATAACTGATGTATAGCAATTTGCTTGACTGATGTATGAATTTTAAAGATATGATTTAATCTGCACACGTACACAAAAATATATATATATATATATATATTACTTTCATCATGTATAACTTGTACCTGCATGTCAATTTCATGTATAATTCAAAGAGATCAATATTCAGCAAATTATTGCAATTATTTGTGGGGACCCACCATAATTTTTTAGAATAATTATTAAAGCAAACCACAATTTGCGAAACTACTAGTAAACAGAAATCACATTCAATGACTAAGCTGAAGACAGCTTTGGTATATTTAGTTTTTGGTTGAAAAAGACGACCATAGGATTAACCTGAAAACACATAGCTGTAGCCATGCAATGGGAGAGACATATATGCAACCATCAGTTATTATTTATATAAAAAGGATTCAGATTCCCTGTGCCAGAATTGTAATAATCTCTTTTTAAAGTAATACGCTAGTTTAAAAACTGCATTGCAGAGATACTTTAATGGTGTTATTCATATATTTATGCAATTTATTCAAAAGTCTGATACAAGTTCTAGAATACCGGTAATATTATATAGGTATCAATTATTTTTTTGATTAATCCGAAATATTTGACTGAATGCAGTACGTTTGTGCTTTTTATGGTGGTGCTGAAATAAAATGAACAAATTAGAATTCAAAGGAAAGAAATACATGTAGATAGAGGGGTGCTTTGAAATGCTAAGGCAGGCAGTATATTCATAGAGGTAGCCAGTTTCAAAATACCCAGTATCTGTTTTCAAAGGTTCAGAAATAGTTGAATCCCTTTGGATGAACTTGGTCACATGTGTCGGTTGATAAATATTGCATGACATGTCTTATAGCATGACATATTTTAGGTGCAATCTGAAGTTTTTTGTTAAAGTTTTCTACAAACTATACCAGACAAGTTTTTATATGTAAATAATGTGAATGGTGTAAATGTATGTCTATGATAAACAAACAAAAAAACATATATGAGAACAGAAGAAACATTTATATTTTGTACATATGGTATATAATCAGGAATTTTGTATCTTAATTGGTTAAGGCTGAACAGGTGTATCTGTTTATTGACTTTGGAGAAAGAAAGTCACATGGTTGAATGTCTAGTTGCTGAGTTTAGTCATAAAACTGTATTTAATGCGTCATTATCATCTCCTTCTTGTAAAAAAAATAATAGTGCTACTAACTTGTCATGAAATCATTTTTGTTGTGAATAACACTGAATATCATTCTCCTTTAAAAAGAAAAATGTGCTAAAATTGAGATTGATAGCAGGGGCCAGTTTTGTTTTATACCAAATAGGTTTTCGGTTTACATTATTTTATGTTGGTTTAAAAACCCATTGATTCTGCCATATTTACACAGTTCAAAGAGTACAAATTTTCATTCAAGAAAAATTTAACTTCTTAGATGTATCTTTCTAGAAAAAAATTGTTTTATTTAGCCCAAACAAACGATGATGGGAGATGATCCACTTTGTAACCTGTCTGTCTTGAATTGAGAATTTGACACCGACCCCAAAATATGCAAAGATTGTCAAGTTGCTAGAAATATACATATACATCGTTCACTTAGAACAGATGGTGTTTTTTTCTTTGTAATGATTACATTTCAAAAAACACATGTAAGTAAATCATTGATTTTCATTTTCTCTTTCATGCTTTTCACATTCCTATATTTGATATGTTTGGAAAAGGAATATTGTTTGTTGGTAATACTATACATTAATATTATCTTTGAAATACAACTTGTGATGAAATTTGTTGAGTTGTAACATCAACTTGAACAAAATATTACATTCAAAATGAGATTAAAAAAAAACATTCCAAATAAAGGATTAAAAGAACAATTGGTTTTATTTCATTATTTTCACTGAATTCCATACCATGGCTGAAAATGCATACTGAAATTATTTTTTTGTAAAACCAAGTGAAACATTTTGTTGTTGAAAGAGTATTAAAAAAAATCCTAGCTTGAAGTTTGGAGAAGGTTTATTCAAAATGATACCACTGAAATAAAAGGTCTCATACTTGTATTCCCATTTCAATTATATTCACTTTTTGTATTCTCCATTTCATTTTAGTACAGAATAATCTTGCACACCATTTAATTACCATTCCAATGTATTGGCTTTCTTACTTCTTCAGGTATATTCATTCCTTTTTGAAATCTTTTCTTTTACTTTTGCTACAATCAGAATGTTTTGTATATTATGTTACTCCTGTAGTTATCAGATTTTTAAAGCAACATTGTTTAAAAGTTAATAAGATGAATGGTTCAAGAAGGTGTTTTTTTAAAAGGCAATAGATGGAATATGATTATATTTAATTAATTCAATTCATTTAGAAGTTCTTGACAGCAGAATGTTTACTTGGCTTTCTTGTAAAGTATTCATGACCTTTGTGTAATTTGCTTAACCATTATTCAAACATTTATTCAACATATATTTAGTCTCTCTGCGATTAACATTTACTCCTTTTAATCCATGTGATCTTGCATTCTATCACATGCTGAAAAACAGTGAGGCATAATGGATATAACTTGTACACTTTTGAATCATGATGTGTAATGATTAAACATATAAAATTACATATTATAATATATGTGCTTTGAGTGCCTATGACATAGTGTAAGGAAAGTCGACCGCATCGTGCCTACATTAAATGGTAATAGAATAAAGATGAAAGACAGTCAAATTAACAAAAAAATGCCAAGAGTTGGTGAATTTTTTTTATATTAACTCTACTTAACTTAAACCAGAGCCATCATTATACAGAGTTTGGCCAACTTGGTATCAGTTGGTCACAACTGGGATGGCCAACTCTGTGTATAGATGGCTCTGATGTCAACCATACACTGCTGTTTTTAATCTGACTTTTATAGTGAGTTTGAAGAACAAATTTGGAAGTTTCTTCTACTTCAATTATTGGTGTTTTTGATAAAGAATGATGTAAGAAGGTTTAATTTGACTTGGAAGAAGATTTAATTCTCCATGTGATTTGTATAGATTTCGATTCAAATGTTTTCACTTGTTGTGTTTATGTACTTAAGCACGCAAGTCTTATGAAACCAGCATGTATTCATACACTTCAACGTAGGTTTAGCCGGAGTATTCAATTATGACATGCATACCTCAATTTTGCATGTTTAATCAGGTATTCTAAAAATGGAATTAATTGGAATTTGATATGGTGATGATTTTATCACCTGTTTTGTTTCAAATTGAAAAAGAATTTCCTGTAGTTGGTATCAAATGAGAAGCCTTACTGTTTTACATTTCTATAAAAATTTAAAGCTATGTGTAACTGTGTGTGTATATAATGATCCTTATATAATCATATAGTATAGTGGTACAAGCACTGTCTATTGTAGAAGACAGAATAAGTATATCACAAAGTCCTTATGTAAATAGATTCCCATATTTTTGTCTTCAAAGTCATGCTTTGATTGATATTCCACAGTGTTATATGCAATAGAATTGGCTTCTAGTATTTTATGGGCACATCATAAGTGTTTCACAGTCAGTTCATGAATAATGTTTTGTGTATACCTTTGTTGTATTGTAAATATTGATACTTGTTTAAACCACTGTGTATGTCATATAGGCATGAGTATTGTAACGATATGAAATATAGGATGTATTTGTGTATCATGTCCAGTGTATTTAGATACTATGTATGCGACGGTAACAGTTTTATGTTAATACTTTCTCGAAGAATGAACACATTTTCTTTCTTTTATTTTTTATTTTTTAACCTCTCACATGCGGTGCTAGTTGAGAATTTTGGAAAGATAGAAATAAAGACGCGAGCTTATTATACTGATTAACATTACACAAAGGCCTCCACATTGTGTTTTCCTTTCAGATTTATATGTGTCATAGAATTTTCATTATTCCTTCATGTACTATTTGTTCCTAAATTTCACGTCTAAACAGTCTGATGGGGGGGGGGGGGTCTTTTGGCATAATAATAATGCATGTGCTCATTGGAGAAAATGGGATTTTTGTTTTTTTGCCCATTTATTCATTTGGTTTGGTTAGTCTGTGATTGATTGAAGGCAGGGATTAATGAAAGGTAGGACCAATAAGTAACCAGACCAGTCCCTTGATAGAACCAATGGTTCGTAGGAACATACAGACCCCTTCCTCTGGTACTTGGTTTTGGTCTTAGCTCTTGTGGAGCCTACTTGTAAGGGGAAAATAATCCTAACACCAAAGCGTGTGACTGGGACCACTGGATATGTATTATGATGTCATCAAGGACCCATACAAACTAGGTCCGATGCCCCCCCCCCCTTCTCTCTCTCTCTCTCTCTCTCTCTCTCCCCTACTCCCTCTCATTCTCCCTCTCCCCCCCCCCCCCCCCCCCCCCCCCCCTCTCTCTCTCTCTTTCCACTCTCCCTCTCCCTTTCTCTCTTTCACCCTCTTTTTCTGTTCTCCATTCCATTTCTCAATTTTTCAACTTTCTTTCTCCCATTCTCTCCCTTTCAATTCCCTCTCTTTTTTCTCACTGTCTTTTTTTTTAAAAACTTTATAATTTATTACAGTGACGTGAAGTGAAGTTTGAAATATAATTGTGAAGTATTTTTAATCTGTTTGGCTCCCACTCATCTCATGTTCAATAGCCAAATAAATGGTAAAAATGTATTATGATATCATAT